GTAATTTTTTTTTAATTCATCTATTCAATGGGCATCTGACAGACATCCAAAGCAGGGGCAGACGGACAGTTCAGTTCAAAATAACAAGGACAAAAACACAAAGTTAAAAAAAATAGGGGTAAAATCACAATTGGACTACTAGACAAGGGCAAGAACACAATTTTCCCAATGATTTAATAGCCTTTAGTATCAACACAGATATGTATGAACTAACTACACTATCAGGTAGACAATGATTTTAGGAACCTAACAAAATGAGTTTCACAATTTTTGGACACATATAGAAATTTATATTAATTATACAAATCTAGCTCAGAAATTAAAATAGAAAGCTATTACCTATTTCTAAGAAAAAGAAAAAAATGAAACCAACCTCGCGGCCCACAAACGCGCGGACAGCGCGCGTCGGTCGGCCCATCAACGCGGCCCAAGAGGGATACCCGCGCGGGCGTGGCTCTTGTGCAAAAGAGACCCTGATCTTTTCTGAAACTATGTTGCCATCCGTTTACTAATTCTTTCTCTCTCTGACCTCTTCACTTAACCCCTTGGCCTTCCTCTAATTTCCTCACACACACCCCCGCTACTACCCCGTGCACAGCGGCGCGGCGAGCATTGGCATTGGGTGGCTACGTCGGCCACCGGAGGCTCACATAGGCCCATCGATCGGGCCGACCTCCAACTATAGCCTAAACGCCTACGCTAAGCTGCAACGCAGGGCGGCGGGACTCGCTGGAGCAAGCTGCGATGACACGCGGCCATCCACGACGGTGTCGCGACTGTTCTGGCAAACCAGGGCACCTAAGGACCTAACCGGCTAGCGAGCAAGCACTAGGGACTTACCGCGGGCTCGACCGGTGTGGTGGTTGTAGCGGAGGAGGCCTAGGATGAGTTGGCCACGTGTGCGCGGTGAGCTCGGCGACGAGTCACGGCGGACACGGCCACGTCAGCGACGCCGGGGAGGCGGTAGCGGTTCCGCTAGCATGCGCAGGGTGGAGAGGGAGTCAAGGCGAAGCTAGTGGTGCAGACGAATTGGCTACGGGGGTGTTCGATGGGGAACTGCCATCGGCTTTTGATGCACACGGCCTTATCGGCCCGGCGGCAAGGAAACGCCAAAATTAAAGCTTGGCTGGGCTCGGTCCAAGGTGGGGTGGGGTCGGGTGGCTAGGCGACTTGATGGTGAAGCCAGCGACGCAACGAATCAGCTTGAGATGATCTCTCCCTGACGGATTTAATGGTGCGGCCCAGCCAGCCATGGAAGCAGAGAGAGGTAGGTAGGTAGGTGGGGCTCAGCTCGACCTCGTCTTGGCGGGATGCGGCCGACGCGATCGGGGAGACATGCGCGTAGATACTGCGGACCAACCGCGTGCGTCCATGATTGGGCACGGCCCGCGCGGCCACAGTGCCATAAATGGCAAGATGACGGCGAGCCCAACCATGTGCACGTAGCAGTGGCAGGCATCGGACCGGGCCAGCAGCGGCGCGGAGGTGCAGGGGGTGCGGACGCGATGGCGAGGCGATGGCACTGACAGTAGCTACGCCACGACACGGGACAGGCAGCGGTCTGGCGGCAGAGCGGCGGCAGGCAGCCAAGACACCAAGATGGCTAGGCGAAAGCAAAGAAAGAATCGCTCATGCGGCAGCGGCAGGTGGCGGCTAGGCCGCAGCCAAGCCACCCCCGGCCGAGGACGACCCTAGCCCAGCAATGAGGCCCCGCGCGCGTGGCCCAGTCGGGATGACCATGGCGAGCACATGTGCATGGTGACCGCGCACACAAACCGAGCAGGTGATGTGCACGAATTTTAAAGCGTCAATAACAACCGGACTATGGAAGTTGAGACCAAACCACCTTCACTGTGCTAAAGCGGGCATATCAAACTGCAAGCATGAGCTAAAACATGACATCACTACCTAGCTAAATTGCACGGAATTGATTCGCCAATATAGCGTCGTCACCCTGTTTTCAAACTTGAAAATCTTCTAAGTCTTGAGCTGGATTCAATTTCAGGTTCCATTTTTAGGCCATTAGAAATACTAGCTAACAATGCTCTTTTTCTACAGCAAGAGTTGCATTGTCATCTACAAAGTTTGTATTTCAAACCTTATTTAGGTGTCACACACATGTTCTATAATACTTTTGCTTAATAAAAATTGGTTTTCAAACCTACTTAATATACATGAGCTATTAAATGAACTTGTATTTAACATTTTTATTAGTTATTTTAGGTTACAAGAAATTGATCTACACACTTTATCACATACTTTATCACATAAACATAGTGTTCATGGCATGGTTTAGTGATTTGTTTACACTATCTATCTTTACATGCGTAGGACGCGGGCACGCCGGCGGCAGGACAAGAGATACAACAGTTGAGTTGCGAAGGGTTGGAGCTACCACTTATTTAGAGCATCTCCAAGAGTTCCTTATTTTTTTCTCCTAAAAACATGTAGTTTCCAAACTTCTAAAAATGTATTGGGAGGAAAAAGAAGGGCATTTCCAAAAGTTTCCAATAAATGACTTCCAAAAAATTAAATTTGAGTCCCACGTCAATTTTTTGCCGATTTTTTTTGTCGCGGGACTGCAAAGGGTGCGCCGAACCCTCTCTCACGCCACAACCTCCCTGCCGCCGCCACCAACTCCCAGCCGCCGCTGCCGCCACCACCGGGCCACCCCAGCCAGCTTGCTGCCGCCTAGGCAAGCAGAGACGGCACCAAGCAAGCAGCAGCTTCACCTTGCGCCAGCAAACAATGTCATGCAAACAGGAGCATGCAAGCAGGCGTGTAGCCGGCCAAGAGCATTACTTGAATATACACATATACACAGGAGCAAATGGTACTTGAATAAAGTTTCGCATCGCGCCGGAGCTTCCCGCTGCCCTCCTTCGACCGCCAGCTGCTGCGGCTGAGGACCGTATCTATTCTCGGCACCCTCGGCCTCACCGGCAGCGCCTGCCACTCGGGCTCATGCAGGCACGTGACGTTGTCGGTGGAGTAGATGAAGAGCTACAACAACCACGCCGCCGAAAACGAGACACCCAGGCCGCAGCTGCGGGAGGACGCGGATGCATGTGACATGCCACCGGCGACATTCCGGAGCTCTCCGGCCTCGTCCGTGCCCGCATCATCGCGTTCCAAGAGAAGATCAAATGGACGCGATTCAAGGGCCGCGACGCCAAGTTGTCGCCCCTGTGGCCGCCGGGAGGCGAGCGGAAGGCGGTGGTGTACCTCACGAGCCTCCGCGACGTGCGCAAGAGTGCAAGACGTTCGTGTACTTCACGAGGCTCCGTGGCGGCGGCCGCGGGAAGGAGAGACTCGCGGCAAAAGAAATCGCTGTAAGAAGGACGCCGCGCGGGAAGCCGTATCCGCGCGAGGTCGCGTCCGCGTAAAGTTACGCAGAACAGGGGAATATTTTCTAAGTGCGTAAATTTTAGGAAGAAGTATTATAAGTTGTTGGAGATGATTTTTTTCTAATCTTTCTAAAAGCCGGATTATAAGAGGATTTAGAGAACTCTTGGAGTTGTTGGCGCGCGTCCATTATACGCGTGTGTGTACTGCAACGAGAGCGCGGTACTACATGACACACCAACGAGTTTACGCAAGACCCCTTTCCCATTTCCCAACAAGCACGTGCTCGCGCCGTGCCTGATCGATCAATCGGCGTTGACTACCCATAAGTGCATGCCAAGCCGTATATGCATGCATGCATGGTGCAATCCAGCCATCCAGGGCAGGGCAGGGCCACGCCTTCACTGCACCGAATCCGGTGTTCTTATCGTTCCGGACAGAAGCAGATGCCCCGCCCGGCATCTCGTGCGCGACGTGCGTGCATTTATGTGTCGCGGATTACGTACCTGCAGGCAGCCAGTAGCCCAGTACCGTTGTCTGCCGGCAGTGGCGCGCGGAGGATGGGGATTAATAGGGGGCTAAATTGTTCGACAAAATCAATGTATGATCCTTCTTAATAAGTTGTTGATGTAAACGCTTTATATTTATGCAGTATATCTGCAAAACAATTTACTTTTAAGCCTTGTACAAAGAATAACTACTCTCTTTAAGCGCCAAATCGCCCACGAATCCCTAGCCTGGCCTCTTCGTGCTTCTGCCACTATTCGACACTGTTCATTTTTTTTCTTTTTCTTTTCTTTTTGCAATTTTTTTTTTGCCCACCCCTGCTCCTGCCCTACTGCGCCGTTTCCCTCCTCTACGCGTGCGCAGAGCGCGCACCACCTGTCTAGTACTAGTATCTGGGGCGCGCATTCGTGCGCCCGTGAGGTGTCGCGGCAACCAATTGCAGGGATCTAAAGTCAGTGTATTTGTGCGAGATAGAAGTCTAAATATGGATATAGGATGACGGTCCATTAGTACATCGAAGGTTAAAAGGTATCTATATTACAAGAGTATTTGCTGCTATCACAGTACATACGGGCTATATAAAAACTACAATAATTAGAGGCGGTAGTTGATAAACTTCCGGGCTAACAGACTCTGTTGGAGTAGCTGTTTTGGCGTGTGCGCTTGTCTTCAGAGGCAGCCGCTGGCGCTGTTTGTTTCCTAACTGGATTCATCAGCTTCGGAGTTGCGCTTTTTGGAGTAGCTGTGGTGGAGCATTGTTTGCAGAGACACAAGTTTCATAACCGCAAATTAGTAAAGAGTTGTATGTGTAAATAACTGATCGGTTGATTAAGTATTAGCATGGACTTACGGTTGTAGTAGGAGTCGTCTTCAGGTGGATGGAGATGTGGGCCTGCACAAGCAACTGCGTGATATTAGTGTTTGTGTTAGAGCGAGTAATTGATTTGTGTGCCTAATTATTTTTGTATGCAGACAATGATAGCTGATGACTTTGTTGGGTAGGAGGCATTAGCTTTTTTTAGGTTATGTGACTGTAGTTATGGGACGTGGTAGCAAGTATAAATATAAGGAGCTGTTTTTGGAGTTCATGAGCTGTGGCTGTACCATGTGGATGAGATGTGATCTCATCATCGGAGTAGGAGTATAGGTCACGGCGGTCTGACGTATCGAGCACTGAGTCTCCTGTATGAAACAAAAGGAGAAAAAAGAGTTATTGTGATAAAGCAAGCATAGGTAGGTGGACGTACTAATTCTCGCTGCGCTGTCAATCAATAATTACCTCGAATATGAGATGTGTTCCTCTGGTGGAGTGTCCCTGCCTTGCATTTGCTCTGTGAGTATTTCATATTTCAGTGGCCAGATATCGATAATATCATTGGTCGCTGGTGCGTTTCTGAGACCTATGTGGGCCTGGAGGGGCAGTGCAGAGAGCTGGCCATGGACTGTTATCTCATATTGGAGGGTAGCAGATATGAAGTTTATTTCATTGATAGTGCAAAGTCTATCAAACAGTCGGTATAGGACTGAGTTGGAGCATAGGTGCGGTGGCATGCCCGAGATGTAGATGATGAGTCGCTCGTATGGTTCATTTGTAGGGGTATCCTTAGCGAGGTGCAGATTTAATGGATTGGATCTGAGCAAATCCTGTAGTGGAACTGAGGTGGCACCGTTTTGTGGTTTCCATGGCATGAATACGAAGTTGTTATTGTTGATGCTTATGAAACAGTTGGTTAGCAGGTGGGTTTTGGCAGCTGGTGTGGGTAGGCGAAGGAAAAATCCTGGCCCATAGTAGGATATGCTTTCGAGGGCTATGGTGATTCCATGATGCTGGTAGATTGCATCTCTCAGCTCATAGGCATTGCATGGGAGTGAAGCCGTGTCTGGAGCAGCTACCATGATGGCATTGGCAAAAGAGTTTGTGTCAAGATCTGTCAGATCTGTGTTGCCGATGATTGTGAGATTGGAGAAAGGGCGTCTTGGCATATATATATATATATATATATATATATATATATATATATATATATATATATATATATATATGAGATATCTAAGAATATATATATATATATATATATATATATATATATATATATATATATATATATATATATATATATATAACAGTATTAATGTATCTAAGAAATTTCGTGGCATATATTGAATAAAGGCCGTCTTCGTATCTATTAAAAAAAAGAAAAGGAGCACCATTGTATGCTGTCTGCAGTGTGCAGGGAAGAACTCTATAGTTAGATTCCTGTGGCTGTTCCGGTGCCTAAGCACCGGTAGGTTGTTATGGTCTACCTGTGAGTTGTAGTATGACTAAAATGATTTGTGGAAAATTTGGCTTCTTTGCTGGTTACGACAGTAACCATGGGTGTATGAATCCTAATCCTAGATATTAGGCTGAGCAAGGAATGAGGGTGAGGTGGAGGATGTATACCGTGTATCCGTGGTGGATAGCAGCTACGCGTCTTCTTTTGTCGGAGATAAGAGCCTTGCCACGTCTCGTCCCCGCATCGCCGCGGCCACCAAATTGGGGCTATGGTCGGCCTGGGCAAGGCCCGCCCTAGGTGAGGCCGCCACGCCTGCTCCTCGCGCCGCCGCGTCTGACCGCCATAGCCAGGGCTGAGGCTTCCTTCCTAGGGGCTGCGAGGAGCGAGGGGCGTGGAGGAGGAGGAGGAGGAGTAGCCACTGCGTCGCCGCTACTGCCTCAGATGGGAGGAGGAGAAGGAGCAGGGAAGGACAGTGTGGCGGCGAACGCCGAGGTCAGCACCGCCTTGGTTGTCTGCTGGGTTGGTCGAGGCGTGGATTTGGGGAAAGCGAGTGGTGGGCTGGGAGTCGTCGTCTGTTTCAGATAAGGAGGTCGGGGCCTTTTTTTGTTTTGTTTTTTTATGACTTGGATGGTGTAGTAGGGATGGATATTTGCTTGATGGGCCTATGCGGCTGGTACCTGAGAGCAAGCAGGAATCAAGTACAGAGGATCTTGAGGAACACTGCACAGCTATCCAACTGAGCACGACGCAGTACCTTTTGTCTAGCAGAGCGAAATAACCCAACCCAGGACAGCAATGCACGCCAAGGAACCTGTATTATCTCATAACAATAGCAAAAGCAACAGCAAATTAGGTCAATACACAAAGGGCATGAATCATAAAATAAAACGGTGCGTGCAGCAACATATGAAATAGTTTAGGCGAAACCCAATACATGATAGAAATCAGATTCTAATTTGGAGCAACACTACACAGAAAAGAGTGTCCTAATTTCCCAAAAAAAATATATATGGTCACCAAACAAACAGCAAGTAAAAGATAACGTTACACTACTATCGCTTATTGCTCCCTATACGCAATAGACAGGAAAATAGCAGATTGAAACCATGTTACATAAAAGATGTTATTCTGAAACGGCTGATCCTGCATCAAACAAATAGCGTTGATTCAGTCAGTAAGGAATGACATGTAACCCAAAGACATGTCTTTGCCCTACCCAAATCCTGGCTAACTCAATGTTACACTACTATCGCCTATCGCTCTCTATATGCATATCGGCTAGCAGTAAGAGCCTTAGATGTATAACAGCAAAAAAACAAATTTTGAAAGCAGTCCAAATAATTTTTATGACTTATAATGTCTAGCTCGTCCTCACCAGTGGCCCTTGGCTGTGTTACTCGTGTAGGAAATCAAACATAAATCATACGGTACCCCAAGTGTTGGCATGCGGCAAACAAAAGCATCAATTGGCATACAGTTGAAAAAGAAAGCAGTGAACCCATGTATAACAGCAAAAAACTAATTTTGAAAGCAGCCCAAATAATTTTTATGACTTATAATGTCCAATTCGTCATCACCAGCGACCCTCGGCTGTGTTACTCGTGTAGAAAATCAAACATAAATCAAACATGATGCCAATGCTGGGTTTGCCAAATAAAAAATTTGTTTGCCGAGAAAAAAACTTTTGGTGGGAATTTTGTGGATCTATTTTTTTTTTTTTGCAAAGCCTTCGTGCGGAGCCAAAACTAAAACCAGTGTCGATATCCAGACAGCCATAAGAAGCGACCGCGTCCTTCTAATATGTTTGCAGAACCCAAAAAAGAAGACTGATATCAGTTTACTTCATCATAAGAAGCACTGCTTTGCAGAATAGGTGTGCATACAAGGATAAGCCGCTCTTACCTGAGAGCAAGCAGGAATCAAGTACAGAGGATCTTGAGAAACACCGAACAGCTATCCAACTGAGCACGACGTAGCACCTTCTGTCTAGCAGAGCGAAATAATCCAACCCAGGACAGCGATGCACGCTGAGGAACCTGTATTATCTCATAATAATAGCAAGAGCAACAGCAAATTAGGTCAATACACAAAGGGCATGAATCATAAAATAAAACGGTGCCTGCAGCAACATATGAAATAGTTTAGGCGAAACCCAATAGATGACAGAAATCAGATTATAATTTGGAGCAACACTATACAGAAAAGACTGTCCTAATTTCCCAAAAAAATATATATATGGTCACCAAACAAACAGCAAGTAAAAGATAACGTTACACTACCATCGCTTATTGCTCCCTATACGCAATAGACGGGAAAATAGCAGATCGAAACCATGTTACATAAAAGATGTCATTCTGAAATGGCTGATCCTGCATCAAACAAATAGCGTCGATTCAGTCAGTAAGGAACGACATGTAACCCAAAGGCATGTCTTTGCCCTACCCAAATATTGGCTAACTCAATGTTACACTACTATCGCCTATTGCTCCCTATATGCATATCGGTTAGCAGTAAGAGCCTTTGTGGCTGCGAATTCAGGAAACCTAACGCCGATGTAGTATGGTTGGACTTTTGTCTAAATAGATTATGGTTGTAACATGCACATGAAAAAGTTCAAATATATAAGGAAACAACGCGGTGTTAAGATAAAGCATCACTATGCTTACACTGAAATATTTGTACAGATACTGGTCTGAGTCAGGATTGGAGATGGCTGTGCTTTTACAAACACAAACAAAGGCATAGCCTTATGTCACCTGATTTACAGTGCAAAGCAGAGGATCTACATTACATTAATAGGTGCTTTTGTACATTAATAGCGATGCTGTGCATAAGAGCACGGTTATTATACATGGCTAGCTTGAGACGTGGGCACATCCTTGCTCTGTTGTCCAGTGAACTCTCCATCTTTGTTTTGAGTCAGAAGCTACCGGTTCATCAATCTAGGTATGTGTGTTTCTGAATGAGTTATAGTCTGTATGAAACATGTACTGTTAAGGTAATGAGTGCCGAGGGATGATTAGTGTACCTGAATCCTATAGGTAGCACATGCAATAGGTGCTGTGACTGCAAGCAGATGGTAAGGTCTAAAAATAACACATTAAAAGGAAAAAGAAAAATTCCATATAGAATACAGGGGAAAAACAAAAAAAGTATGAACCTGTCAGCCAGCTTTTCTTTGAAGGTCATTATAATACTAAATGGGTGCTATACTGCAGTTTCATTTTATAAAAGAAGGGACTAATAGACAGTACATCCATGTGTAGAGTAAACAAATATTTGTAACTATAATCAATAGGACTAATAATAGGGCAAGCACATCTATATCTGTATTATGTAAATATGCCATGTCAATAAGCAACAACAAATCAGTTAATATTTGGTCAACCGAACATGTGGATGTGGGAAATCTAGTCAAAATAGATGGAATATTGATTAAAGTAACTTGAAGACATATGCACAGTCTGAAATCAAACATAAATCATACGGTACCCCAAGTGTTGGCATGCGGCAAACAAAAGCATCAATTGGCATACAGTTGAAAAAGAAAGCAGTGAAGCCAAGCAGCAGCATGCACACCCGAATTTCATTCTGCTAATACCGAAATCATTTTGGATGTGCAAATGCAAATTAGAACACAGACTTTTTAATATAAAACTCAACTTGTTTCTATGTGTCAGTAGGTACCCTTCTAAATTTTTCAATACAACCCAGCCCAGCGAATATCAGTTTACTTCATCATAAGAAGCATTTGAACACCTGCTTCTTATCAGTTTACTTCTAAATTTTTCAATACAACCTTAAGAGACATTTGATGGAGCAATCTGTAACAATAAAATTTAATATAAGTAATCATTCTAAGCTTACACCGCACTATATCTTATATCTCTCCTAGATCAAAGGGCACCGGGCATCTTTAATCTTGGATTCAATCAACACCTGCCTGCTACATACAAACTGCTAGGGTGCTCAAGTGTTGATCGCACAAACCTTTCTCCACATCAAGGTGTACGCATGACATGGCTGCAACTACTGTACGCTTGAGCAGACAACGGCCACGCTTGAGTAGACGGCGGGCAGCAGCAGTTCCAGATCAGCCGCCGACGCGGCAGCCCAGAGTTGTCGGTGCTCTACGCTCATGCTAATCAGCGGGCAAGGCTGCACAGGCCGCCATACGCCGACAAGCACAGATCCTATAGCCCATAACGCTGTAGGATGCCCCCATGTCGCATCCCTCAACGCCAGACGCAAATCCTATGGGGGAACTAACGGATCCGGCCATGGAGGCCCTAGATCCGGTCATGGAGGCCCCGGATGAACCCTAGCAAAGGTGGACGAGAAGCATGCAGATCCCCGGTTGACCCAGGCGCCCGAGTGTGAAGGAGAGGAGGAGCAAGGGAGGGAGGCCGCCTTTACCTGGGGCTTGGTCACGGCGGGTCGTCGCTGAGCCACCCGCGCCGGCCTCCACGCCGGTTGCCGGCGGCGCCCTCACTAGCCGCGCCGCCTCGGGGCTGCACGCCACCTGCACCCGCGACCAGCGGCGTGGCCGTAGCCGGTGCATCGTCGTGGGAGAGAAGGAGAGGAAGGGGAGGCGCGAGCGGCGGCGGGAGCGGCGGCGGGGGCGCGAGCGGCGAGCGGGCGGCGGCGGCGTCCGTGCGAGCCGCGGGAGGAATGGGGGAGGACGGGGAAGAGATGAGGCCGACTATGTGGACCCAAAATCGGAAGCCGCGGTATATATTCGCTGGGCTGGCTCCGGAGTAGAAGTCGGACTACACTGAGAGAATTCGTAGACGAGAAGCAGACGAGCAGCCGGTGGAAGCCACTAAGGAGTGGCGGAAGCGGATTCTAGTGAAATCCGATCCGAGCAATCACAGCCACACGATTCAAGATCAGACGGCTGGGGGAGTTTTGGGCGACGTGGATAGCCTTGCTGGCGGAGGAGCATGTCCGGCTTGTCTGTCTTAACTAGTAATTTCTCCATAAAATACAAGCACAAGGACCCTGTTTCGCCTCTAGCTAGATATAGGAGAGGCTCCGCCAGTGTCTACCAATTCGACCCCTAGGTCACCCCTGCAAGCCTAGCCATATTCATGCACGCATGGCGCTGCAAGGGCTAATGGTGACCTTTGCACTTCAACATCGATGTGGGAACCCTCTAATCTAAAATATGTCACCGAAAAGAAAAAACTCCAATGCACCTTTTATAGAGTATGTTTTTCTTTTACGATGGGAAGGAGAAATTATTTTACAATTTGGCACATTCAATGAAACCTTAGATTACATATGAATTATGATAGTACCTAAAAATAAAAAAGAAACAATATTCTATCCAACAATCCAAGTGCTCTCATCTTCTTCTCTAGTGATCTTGGTCACAACAGCCGATGCTTCGGATGAATAGCCCCGTTCAACACTGAAGTCAGAGTACAGTGTTCTCATGCCGAATCTGCTGATCAACTCCAAAACCTTGATCACGTTGCAAGATCTAAAGTTTCACATAACCAAACCAAAATGTATCTAAACGCATGAAAAACATTGAGAGTTGATCAGTCAAGTATAGCACATGCTACAAATTCAAGTGCCTCCAAAACCCTTGATCCTTCAAATTGGGGGAAAGTTAAATTTACCCTTAGAGACATATGCTCCTGCCCAATGCACCATTGGATGTGCATTGGCATGTGTGCACTCCAATGTGGCCAATATGCAAAGATGATTAATTGTTTGTTTGGCATATTTTAGAAGGAAGTTTTCACCCACTTCATAGATTGCATAAATAAAGCGTTCAAGTACATTGAAGTTCAACATATTGTAGGCGCTACAAACCCAACAAGAGTTCTAAAGCCTCAAGGGTACCACTTCAAGCATTATTACAGACAACTTGTGTTTTTGATTTAGCGCCATCGACCTCACTCTGAGTCGAGCTCTTAGCGATGGAGTCCCACCTCCAAACAACGTGGAGCATCCAATTGTCCCGACCTTGATGATTTAGCATACATCCAATGATGTATTGGGTAGTAGAAGCATATGCCCCTAAGGGGAAAAAAAAAGTTAATATCCCTAGGGGGGAGTGCCAATGAGAATCCTTGCCCTTACCAGTAATAAGTAATAACCACAAATCGACCTCGGACTTGTTTAGATCACCTCCAAATTTTAAGTTTTTTCACTCTCTCTCTATCACATCAATTTTTAGACGCATACATAGAGCATTAAATATAGGTAAAAAAAACTAATTACACAGTTTAGTTGTAAATCACGATATGGATCTTTTGAGCCTAGTTAGTCCATGATCGGACAAAGTTTGTCAAATACAAACGAAACGTGCTACAGTGTCCAGATTACAAAAATTTACAATCTAAACAAGGCCCTCCTGCCGAAATCAACTCCTGCAACAGTCCTTGTTGTGGCATACACTGAAAAAGCAGCAGCAGGGTGTGCGCAGAAATTACCTGAGCATGCAGAAGTACCGATACGCAATAGTACATGGTTAGAACTGTATTATTGTTAATAGTGATTACTAGCTATGATGTCTGCATCAGTCTGCTTACGTTGAATGCCGTGAAACAAAGATATGTATTATCTACTAGCTAGCCAAAGTTCATTAGAAAATACCGCCTCAGTACTCTAAAAAATATAATTCTAGCTTTATCGATACTTAAACTATTTATTAAAGCTTTTACCAAATTTATAGAAAAAACTACCAATATCGATGATGTAAAATATAATAGGTATACTATGAAATATATTCCACAGTAAATCTAAAACCAATTATTTGCTATCATAAATATCAATATTGATGTTTTTTATATAATCTTGGTTAATTAAACTCAAAATGATTTAACCCGAGACTATGCTAGAATTTCCTGTTCGGCTGGTATTAAAGCCGGCTGAAACTGTTTTGTTGTGAGAGAAAAATACTGTACATTCTAGCTGATAAGCCGGCTGATGAGTTCAAGCGAACAGGCCTTTCGGCACGCATGAAAGCAAACTCTGCTCCAATGTCCCCCCGGTCCATGAACACTCTCCATCAAACCCTCCCAATCGTGCTGTTTGTAGATTGCGTGGCTAACAGTGACGTTCTAATAGGTTTTAGTTGTCTTGTCGACTCTGATGGCGAACCGGTTGATATAAACTAGGCGGCTTGTGCTGATAACATAATAAAACTCTTCTCCAAGTGCTGCTCGGTCGCTAAGCGCCAAGGTGAAGCAATTTAATAGGTCTTCGTCAATGGCGCAAACAAGCGCTTGGTCAAGCTCAAATTTGTGTCCCCACTGTCTGATGCTAGCAATCTATATTGCCAGCGTTTTCAGATCATATAAGCTCTGCACGCGCGCTTGAAGTTCTTAATTCTCATAAATAATTCAGCTATAATTAAGTTTCCAGAGCCGTATATCTGTTTTTTTTTCCGACATAACACCGTTTCAACTCAACCCATGAGTCCTATACTTGAATTGATCGAAGTAAAATAAGGGCTAATTTAGAAGTAAGAGGAGATATACCCAGGGATGGAAAACCCTTTGAGCTAAATGAGTTATTTAAATGATATCCCTATAAATTTTTCACCTTGGAAAAAGTCAGGGGTCCCAAGGGAATTTGAGTTTCAAAATAGCCCTAAGACTTCTTTTCGATAGCACTAATCGAATACTATACAGAATCTCGAATTTGGGACAGAAATGAAGAATTGGCAAGCAGACTTGCTGAAGTTCTGATGAAACAGCTAGCCATCAGTTATGTTAGCCATCGCTGAAGAAAACATGCATTGACCGGCAGTACAACATTTACAGATCAATTGAGCACGTACAAATAGAGAAGTGGTACGAGCCATGGACGGAATCGACATACGTACGTACGTACGTTCGTACATGGTCCAACATTCAGAGATGGGAGTGAATTCATGGTCCAACAGAGTTTATACTAGTACAGTACTGTACCAAGCAACTCCTCCGTCAATGACGCTCTTCAGCCTATTCGGCTGATCCGTTCGCGGCTTATTTCGACTAATTTAATAGTATTCTATAAAGGAGAATAAGCTGATAAACAATTCAGTAATTGATCTGTGCCATAATAATTCAGTAATTGATCTGTGGTATGCACAAGGAATTCATGATCGTGCATCAGTGGCTGACATCTTCAGTACAGTAGTTCAGTTAGGTTGCTGTGGTAGTAAAGAAACTGACGAAAGACTCTCTTTTTTTGAAACTGACAAAAGACTTGAAACCACTAGTTTCTGTCGAGTGTCGACTCATCACTCGACTGTATCCTTCTCAATTTCACCAGGCTTCCCCAACTCTCTTGGTTAAACAACAAAAGCCCCTCACTATTTACACAAATCACTGAGATAATGATATAGTGATCTTAGAGGGTGCGAAACGAAAAAAAACATGGAGCACACATCTCAAGAGGGAACAACCGGTGTCAGAACTCCGGCAAGAGGTCTTCCTCGGGCGAGTGCTCCGCCGGCGACAGCGGGGGCTGGTGAAGCTTATCGAAGTACTCCACCACGCTGAACCCATCGCAGGAGACAATGTCGTCGGCCGACGCGGGGATGTAGGGCGGCCGGGACACCTCCCCGAGCAGGTCCCACGCCACCCCGGCGAAGAACGGGTGCGCCCGGACCTCGTCGGCGCCGCCGGCGAAACCCAGCCTCCGCGAAGGGTCCTTCTCCAGCAGCCGCGAGATGAGGTCCGTTAGCTCCGGCCACCGCCGCCGCGCGTCCGCCGTGAACTCCGGCTCCCGGAGCAGCACGTTCCGGAACGTCTCCTTCCGGCTCCGGCCCCGGAACGGTGTCCGCCCGTGGCACATCTCGTAGACGAGCACCCCGAGCGCCCACCAGTCGACTGCGAACTCGTGCCCGTCGCCGCGCACCACCTCCGGCGCCACGTACTCCTCCGTGCCCACGAACGAGAACGACCGCTCTCCCCCTGCGGCGGAGCAGAAGCTCGAGAGCTTCTTGCCTTGGTCCATCGGCGATACCCTGGCCGATTTCGCCTTCTTGATCTGGTCGACGCCGCCGTCGATGCTTCTATCCAGGTACCAGGCGAGGTTGCGCGGTTCCTCCTGTCCGGAAGTAGACGCGGTCACCGCGGACTCGCTCCTCTTGAAGATGTTCTTCACGTGGTGGTACTGGCTCCGTCCGTGGCTCTGGGCCTGAGGCGGCGGCGGCGACGATGTCGCCGAGCACGACGACGAGGTGGACGTGGACGTGGACGCGGAGGGGGACCTGGGCGGGAGCTGCCGTGAGAGGTCAAAGTCGGTCAGCATGACGTGGCCGTCGGCGCGGAGGAGCACGTTCTCGGGCTTGAGGTCGCGGTACGCGATCCCGGCTGCGTGGAGCTCGGCGAGCGCGGACACCACCTCGGCGACGTAGAACCGGATGGCCGCGGGCGAGAACACGCGGTCGGGCTGCGCGTGGCGGAGCTCGTTGAGGTCCCCGCCGGGGCAGTAGGGCAGCGCCCACGCCAGCAGGTCGGGCGTCTCGGCGCACCCGAGCAGGGATGGCAGGTGCGGGTGCGCGAGCCTGGACAGCACGGACACCTCCCACCGCGCGCGCCGCGCCGCGTCGGC